TTTGAAGTGGCCTGGAAGACTTGACTAGGCCTCCACTGGGACAGAAGGAGGGTGGAGTAGGTTACAGGCAGAGAGGAAGCATAGTTGGAAACCAGGCTGGACCTGGGAGCTTAGCAAAGAAGCAGGTATAGTCAAAGTAGAAGTTGTGGACTAAGAACAGTCTTTGGGCCTCTACTCTGGGGAAAGAAATGGAGTTCCTTGGGACTAGGCCACAGGGAGGTATGACAGGCAGAGTTTTAGTTTTCTCCAGGACTAAGAGGGGATGTAGACCTAGTGGAAGTGTGGGGATGAGAACAAGATACCAAGGACAGCATTCAGGGTTTTGCTGTTTGGTCACCTGATGCCTGGTTTTCTCAAACAGCCACAGAAGTGCCTTTGTTGCCACAGCATGTGGCCTTTCTGACTTTCCTTCTCCCTTTCCCCACCTAGTGCATTGTGAGCGTGGCTGGTGGGGCCACTCGGGCTGCCCTGACCATGCACCAGGCCAGGAGAAACAACATGGCTGATGTGTCAGCCAAGGATAGCAGCCAGGTGAGCAGTTGGAATTGGGGTTGGAGGGAGTTGGAGCAGGGAGGCAGGCCAGGCCATGATTTGGGAGTATGGAGAGAAGCACCTGAGTGCTCCTAAGGGTAGGGGTGGGAGATACACACATGGGACGAAATGTCATGCTCCCAACTCTGACTAACTTAGGCAGTCAGATTGAGGGCATGAGTACTAGTGGCAAAAAGTCCAAGCTGATCATCTCAGCTCCTTCCCAATGCCTGTGTGGCCAAGAGTGGGCCCTCGCCCTGGCCTTCACCCTCTCTGGGCCATAGCCCTAGCCTCTGAGGTAGATGTCTGACCACATGAGACCCCATATGTCAAAGCACTTGGGGTGTCAAAAAGTGCTCAGCATGTGAGGGGGGCTGGGGTCATTGGCCAGAGGTATCCACATGACAGTTTCGTAGGCCTTTCTGACCCAACCCGTCACCTGACCAGGGCATCCTGGAGTAAAGGTGGGGACCGTTAAGGCTGAACTCTACAGGTATGGGATCCTCCCAGGCTCCTTTGCTAGCTGCTTATGTGTATTGCATTGTTTAACTCACACCAGCCCCAGGAGGCAGATACTGTTATTATTCCTGTTTTACAGAAGAGGAAAATGAGGACTGGTTAGTCAGAAGTGTCACAGAGCTTTGACACTGAAGCAATTTAGAAACCTCTATTCTGTCCAGTCCTACACTCTGTCCTTCTCTTAAATTGTTTTGCTCAGTTTCTAAATAGAAGTTGTTTTAAATTTAAAATTAACTCCTTTGAACAATATTAGGTGTTAAGCTGTAAACACAAGCTAATACTTATTAAGCGCTAACTGTGTGCCAAGTATTTCATTTATATGAACTCATTAATACAGGAAGGACTCATTGTTGCCATTCTACAAAGGAGGAAATAAGTCAGAAAGAGGTTCAGTCCTCTTGAATACCTTTGTGCACGTCCCTTCTCTCAGGAAATGGTTGGATAAATTCTTCCCCATTATCTCTTCCATAGGCTGTCAGGAAGGGAGAAATAAGTACAACCCAGGACTTGAATTTTAGGATCTCCCAGCTCTATGCCTGCTCTCTCTCACCTCTTCTCTTTCCAAACCCCAACCCTCCTCATACCCCCAGGCTATATTTTCCAAGCCCAGGGGCTCCCTCAGCTTGCAGAAGCAGGAACACATCACAGGGGCAACACAGGAGATGTGCTCAGTCCTACAGCAGGCCCCTGATTTCTGCTGATGTTGCTTTATTGCCACTTGATGTGGCTGCTGGAAATGAGTCTTTCCACCTGAGGGAGAGGTGGTCTTCCTGCTCTTGTGCAACCAAGACCTCTGATCTATTTACCATCACAACCACAGCTTTTATTTCCACAGCTCACCCCTTTGCCAGGACAGCTGGGTAGGAAGAGCTCTCTCAGCCTCAGACCTCCTTTATGCCAGAACCAGCTCTCCCTTCAACTCCAGTAGTCAGGAGCCACCAATCCAGACTCTTCCTCCCTTATGAGGAGTTGGGGACAGGTGGCCTGGTGTCTGTTCCCCTTGGGTGAGCTCAGTCAGGCCATCTCAGGACATTAGAGGGTTCTGATAACTGATTCTCAAGGGAAGAGGTTTGGATCTTGTGCCTTTCTTCCTGAGTGGTTCCTTTAAACCCTTTGCAAACGTTTTTGTATACCTAGGGGCTGAGGGGGATCAGTCTTTTTAAACCACTAAATTTAAGAACTTCCTCATTCCAAGGACATTCACTTGCTGAGTATAGAGGTACTCGGAGGACTCTTGCAAAACAAAGAAGACATGTTCCAAGGGCATTGTATCCACCTAGACACAGAAGCAGCTGGTATCTTAAATGACCACTCACTCATTAAAAACTGACTGGGCATCCTCATCAGTGTAGGGAGCCCTGGGAGGAACTGCAGCAGGGAAGAAGGTAATGAAAGGTACTCAAGGATATTTAGCCTGGCCTGGAAGGAAGCTCTCCAACTCCCAGCCCTTCTGCCATTTTCTAGGAGACACTGGTAAACCTGGCAGGGCTCCTGGTCAGCCTCTTGATGCTTCCCCTCGTGTCAGCTGGCCCTGGGTAAGCCGGGATCAAGGGCAGGGAGGAGGTTCCCCGCTGGGCCTCCACCCCCCTGTTGACCACCCTACTCTCCCACCCAGCTTCAGCTTCGGTTGTTTCTTCTTCCTCACCGCCCTTCACATCTACGCCAACTACCGGGCAGTCCGAGCCCTTGTCCTAGAGACCTTGAATGAAGGCCGGCTCCGGCTGGTCCTGAAGCACTTCCTTCAGAGGGGAGAGGTACTTGGGCCTACCTCAGCTAATCAGATGGAGCCACTGTGGACAGGTGACACAACCTCTTGGTCTTAAGTGCTGTGTCTCCCAGTCTCTCCCTGTCTGGGCATCCTGACTCCAGCTTCCCACAGGTTTTTGGCCATCTCTGTCTCTATCCCTGGGGGTCCCCCTACACCGCTTGATCTCCAGGTAAGTGGCCCAGTGTCTCCCATCCACCCCTGCTGCCACCCCCACTCCCCACACATGCTCTTTATTCCAATTACACACTGGCCTCCCCTGACCAGGCCTCACCTCTCTATTCTAGGTCCCTTATTGCCACTAATCAGACTTGGGGGCAGCAGGGGTGTGACACTGAGTAGATATAAGGGATACATTTGTTAGACATAGGGAAAAAAAGGAAGGATGGATGTCGCATGCATGGGTAATGGCTAAGAGAGATGAAGAAGTGGTAAGAGACAGATGAAGTAAGGACAGTTCAGCTGACTGGATGGTTACTCCTATTTTTGCTTTCTCCTCCCCCACTCCACTCTCTTCTTTCCTTCAGTGTCTTTGAGCTACAACAGCTGGTTGAGGGACACCAAGAACCCTACCTCCTTCACTGGGACAAGTCACAAAGTAAGTGTGCTGTGCTCTTCCAGCCCTAGACTCACCCTTCTGGGGTCTCATTCCATCAGCTCCAAAGCCTCAAGCCCTGGACAATTTAGAGGCTGCCTGGTGTCTTGGAGGGAGCTCTAGACTAAGACTTGGTGTATTCAAATTATAGCTGCATGCCCCAATGAAATTCACTTTGTCGCTGTGTAAAATGAGGCTAACAATGCTTGCCTTATTGTCTGCATGTTTTTATGAGAATCAGATAAGGCGATTTTGTAAAGCACTTTATATATTGCAAAGTACTCAAATAAGATTATGATCTTTGCTTATCCCTGGAGAACTTTTCTCTCCCATCCTGAGTTACCTGTTGAGGAAACAAATACTGAAGTTTACTGGTCTGCTGGTTGTTGTGTGTGTTGTGTGCTAAAAGGTGCTTATTCTCACTAGAGAATAAGCCACCTCAGTGGCCTCCTATAAAGCTGTATTTGGAAATTGGGCATTTTGGTTCGGCCAGAACATTGGGACAACAGGAGATGAAGATGGAAGGGAAAGGGTGAAAGATAGCCTCCATCTATGCCAGGCCAACACCTCAAGACAGGAATGAAGCAGGATGGTAGGTTTGAGAGTGTTTGGGGAGGTGGCCCTTCCCTAATACCAGTCTGTTCCTGGGTTTCTCCAGGCCGGGTGCAAGTTGTTCTGAGCCAGATGGCAGGCCCTGAAACCATCCTGAGGGCTGCCATACACGGACTGGTGCTTGAAGCCCTGCAGGGAGAGGGGCCCCTCCCAAGAGAACTGACGGAACTGAGGAACCAAGTACGGGCAGGTAAGCACCTCGCGGTCTAGACTGCTGACGACTCAGAGAAGAAGGACTGTGTTCCACTTGGGGACCTGACAGCTTCTCGTTCTGCACCCTCCTCCAGGTCCTGAGAAGGAGAGCTGGGTCATTGTCAGAGAGACACACCAAGTGTTGGACAAGCTATTCCCAAAGTTCTTGAAAGGTAACATCCTTAAGCTCCATGGCTCTTTGGCCTCTGAGGCCTTCTCCCCCAGAGACCCTGCCTAACCTGTTTCCTTGTCTGCAGTATGGGGAGGTTAGGGATACTGAGGCTGTGTCAGTATTGACAATCTCTATAATTCCAGTTGGCATTGAAGAACTGGGGGCGTGGGGTGGGGAGGTTTGCTCACAAATGACTGATGATGATCTTATATTTAGCACCTACTCCATTCCAGCTCTTTCCCATGTGCTAAGTCAGTGAATTCTCGCTACAGCCAGATGAAGTTTTAGCCTCATTTTGTGCCAGAAATGACCCAGCAGAGGCAAGTGGAGCCTGGGCAGTACACACAGCATGCACCTGGCCTGTGCTGCTCCTTACCACTCTCCCCAGACTCCCTAGAGTCTTCTCCCCAGCAGTCCCAGTGGCACCCTGATTATGACCTCTCCCCAGGATTGCAGGATGCAGGCTGGAAGACTGAGAAGCACCAGCTAGAGGTGGATGAGTGGAGGGCCACCTGGCTACTCTCTCCGGAAAAGAAGATCTTGTGAGCAGCCCAGATGGAGACCCAGGTCCCAGGATAGGAGCCTAGAGCAAGCACACTTTGGCCATAGCAGGATGTGGGAACAGCAGCTTTATTTTTGCTTAGGGGAACTGCTGTGGCAGTTTGACCAAGGTCTCATGGGCTGTAACTGCCAGTCAGATGGACGGGGGCCCCAGACAGAGACAAGGTGGAGAGAAGGGGAACCAGGGCCTACCCCCTCCCACCAGGGCCTACCCTCTCCCGCTTCTGCCCTACTCCCTTCTCACCACTGCAAGGCGCCTCACCCCCATTCATTGTGAGGCTGAGCTCTGCCCTGGCTGTAGCCCATGGTGTCCAGCAGAGTTGGCCTCAGGCATAAAAGCCCCAGAAGAACGTGGCCACAGCCATCATGAGCAGGGCATTGAAGTTGACCACACGGGCCCAGCTCGAGTCCTCGCTGATGTCCTCTAGCCGCCTGGCTGCTGCAGCCACCTCCTCCTGGGTAGGGGCTGGGGGACTACCCGCCCCACCTCCACTCATTCCACAGAACCAGAGCAGGCACTTGCGGAACAGGCCTGGTGCTGGGGACTGGGCCTCTAGGAAGAATGGACACGGGACAGTTAGTTTGAAGGAACTTGGCTCCCCTAGTCCCTGGCCCCACCTCCTGGAGGAGTGCCTTACCCTCCATCTCCACAGCATGCTCCGGACACCCATTCTGTGTAGGGGGTGAGGTTGGACCTTCCAGCTCATCAGCATCCAGGTCCTCTCGCTCCTCCTTGCTGTGCCGCAGACTGAAAACCAGGCGGTGGAGCTGGGGAAGGGAGCAGGGACCAAGTGAGAGTGCTGGTCCTCCCCCGGCCCCCACCCCGGACCCTGAAGTCTCTTGTCTACCTGGACACCTAAGACACCTTAGCTCCCTCTGTCCACCCTGTACACATGTTCAGACTCAGTTCAGCAAACCCAGCCTGCCATGGCTGCCCTTTGCCCTCAGACTAAAGCTAAGCTCTTCAGCTATGTGTTAAAAGCTCTTGGCCCTGGTTACCCTTTGCTTCAATGCCCCCGGTCCCTGTCTACACTCAAATTGTAGTCCTTTATAGGCTAGTCTTCTAGTCCTGCTAACAGTGTTCCTTCCTGTGGGTATTTGTGCATGTAGTTTCCTCCTGCTGCCTTTCCCCCACTTCACCTGTGCAGCCCTGCCCATCCTTCTGCACAGCTCATCTGTCCTGGCCCTCAGTCAGCCCTGCCCTGGGGCTCCTGCCCTGCAGCAGCACAAGACCAAACCCTCTTGTGGGCCTTCAGGATAGTATTCTGTCTCTCTTAGCCACCAATCAGATCTGTGGTTTGAGTCCTGAGGGCCACTGCAAGGACTTTGGGAGGTCATCACCTCCCCCACAGTCTTAAAGCCCACCCAGAACACCTCAAATAAATGTCATTTAAGTAAAATGTTGTGCTTGCTTTGCAAACGCAGCTTCCAACTGGATTCCCAGTCTACCCTCATGGACCCTCAGTGTAGAAATCCAGGGCCTCCTCACTGAGCATTCCTGGAAGTGGATTGGCAGACTAGGGGGTAGAGAGGGCTGCACTGACTCACATGGTGCATATTTGGTGCCCATCCAGAGGCCGGCACTTACATGCTTGCGTGGGATGGGTGCTGTGCATAGTGAGACTACAATGGTGAGGAGGCCAGAGCAAATGAAGAGCACGATGGCAAAGTAGAGGTAGTGCATGCCGCAGAGGAGCGCCGGGCACGCTGAGGGCTGCACACAGCTGCCCGAGCCAAAGGAGAACTCAGGAATAAGTCGTGCCAGACCCATAAGCAGGCCCCCAATCAGTCCCCAGAAGGCACCCTGCCAGGGAAGAGAATGTCAGCCTCTTCTGTCCAGGTTCTGCCCCCAAGTTCACCACCTACACACAGACTCACCTTCTCATTGACACGGGGCACAAAGAGCGCCAGCACAAAGACGGCAGACACAGGTGGCGCCAGGTAGCTGGAGACTGCCTGAATGTAGTCAAAGAGCTGCCCGCCCTGCGCTGCCTGCACCACGGGTAGCCAGGCCACGGATACCGCCACGATGAACACCACCCAGAGCCTGCAGTAGGTGGCCATCGGGAGATTTCACAGGATTCCCCAGTTCCCCGTAATCCTGTGAGGGTTCCCTGCCCCCACCCCATGGCTGATTGGTTGGGCAGGATCTTAGGGGGAACCCAGGCCGCACCGTCCTACTAGCAGCAGCTCGCGATCACCTGCATGGGGCCGCAGGCGCGTGTAGATGTCCATGGTGAAAAGCGTACTGCTGCTGTTAAAGATGGAAGCCAGCGAGGACATGAGCGCGGCCAGCATGACCGCCAGCATGAGTCCGCGCAGACCTGCAGGCCGATGGGAGCTGTGAGTCCCCAGCCATCCCCGGGAGGGTGCAGACTTGGCACGGGGTGACTCCTCCCAGTGGCAGTGTCCGCAGCTGGCCAGCTCTTACCATTGGGCATGAGCTTCACAACAAGCCGCGGGTAGGCGATGTTGGAGCAGCCCACCTCGGTACCACACACGCGTTTACACACTTCGGGCACCACGCACGCCACCTCATCTGCAGGAAAGAGGGCACAATGTGGCTAGGACGGGACCTGGTCTGGGAACTCAGATCCCTTAAGTGAGGAAAGGAAATCCTAGTGGAAGAGAGATAGGACCTCTGGTGGGAGGTGGGCCTGGGTTGATGGGATTTCCAAATCAAAGGACAGTAATGGAAACGGGAAATAGGCACCTGTTACCGTACACAAGGGGCTGGATGGGGCACAGGACTCTTGGTGGGGGCGGGGTTGCAGACATTACCTGGATAAAGAATGCGGCTGATCATGCCTGGCATGACCATGAGGAACATGGGCATCAGCTTCAAGTAGCCGCACAGTATGCAGCCCGCCTTGATGTGGGTCAGACTCTTCCCGGCCAGACAGCGCTGCACGATGACCTGCGGCAAGGGCTGTTCGACTGCCTGCATCCGATCCTGCATACCTCGCCCTCTCAGGCCTCGTCTCTACTCGCTGCTCTAATTCAGGCCTGCCTCTGGTTCAGTGGTGCTGGCAATTCACCTTCACTCAGAACCAGAGTCTTTGGGTTCCAGTGGGTCTGGTTTAGCCCCATCCCGGCCAGGTTCCTGACCACTCAACCGGGTCTTTGAGCAGCCCCAGATGGGTTCTGGTTCTACCCATCTCAGCTCTGCCCACAGTGGTTTCTGGTTCTTCCCCAGCTTCCCTGCCGGCCCAAGCCCTGACCCCGCACCTGGTCGCTGCACCAGTACCAGCCTGAGACGATGGTAAGACCCAGGAGCAGTGCTGGCCATGGCAGGTCCCCCGTCACAGGGTCCCGGAGCAGGTGGTAGGAGTCAGGCCGGGGTCGATAGCAGGAACTTGAGATGTTGCCTACCGCCGGATCCTCAGAAACCGTCAGCGACGTCATTGCTCCCAAGTATTTGTCGAAAAGCCCCGAATACCCGCCCACCTCGTGGAAGGCTGTGAGGGCAAGGCTGTCAGGGGACCCAGCGCGTGTGCCAAGGCCCTCCCTAGGACCCACATGCTGGAGATGTGCAATGTCTCTGCTCCCAGGTTGAGAGCTCTGTGACTCGCAACCTCTGTGCCCTTCCCCCACTGGCTGAGCTCCGTACCGTAACCCATGAGGATGAAGGCCCCCCCAAGAATGACGAAGGTCTGCACGGTATCCGTGTACATCAGTGCCGCCAGCCCTCCTGCAAGGGGCCTGAGTCAGTGGAGACAGCCCAAATAGGATGCCCTGAGCACATATGGTGTCTTTCTGCGGATTTGAAAGATGTGCTCCTTCCCGGAGAGCAAATTTCAAAGAAATGGCCCATTCTCCAGGCTCATGTACCCGGGCATCAGGAGGCAGGAATTAGTGAGCAGAATGTGCTTGCTTCAGTGACGCTCCCAGCATATCTTCAAGCCCACTCCATCCCTAAGCCCCTGCCACAGCCACCTGTCACAGTGTAGATCATGGTGATGCCCAGAAGAGCGATGACTGAGGCATAGATGTTCCAGCCCAGAGCCTGTTGAATGAATACTGCCCCGGAGAACATATCCACCTTGGGAGAAGTAGTGATAGCACAGGTCAGGACCCAGGGACCCAGGCAGGGACCCAGGTCTACCTCATGCCCAGACCATGACCCTATGTGGCCACGTTTCAAAGGTTCTCTTATTTTCCAATGGTCTGCCCTTCCCAGGTCCCACCCATTGTGGCCACGGCCCCCAAACCTATTTCTTCCAGACTGTGCTTCAGTCTTGGTTCTTACAAGGGATTTCTCCTTTGCCCCGCCCCCTCCAGGGCTTTCTAGAGACCCCCACTAGGTGGTCCCTCCCTTCCAGGGCCCTCCCCCACCCTCCATGAATGCGCACCGAAATCTTGGTGAAGATGTACAGAAAAAGCGAGAGCATTGACAGGTAGAGGCGGATACGATGGCCTCCGAAGCGCTTGCGCAGGTACTGCGGCATGGTAATGACGCCCGCAGTCAGGTACACTGGTGCGAAGACCCAGCCCAGTAACAGCACCACGAACAGCGCCTGCGGGCACAGCTGACAGCTGAGGATGACTGAGAGCCTGCCATGAGTTCACCCTCACCCCTGAAGGGTGTAAGACACCTCTTTCTGAACGTGTTATACCAAGGAAAGATTTCACTGGGGACCCAAGGGTATACCCAGGGTATTAAGGGACAGAGTCTTCACACCTCCATGGGCCCCTAACTAGATCCCTCCTAATCCTCCCAGGCCATGACCCCTGGCCAGTCCCTCCCAAGGTGGTCCCTATCCCTTCACCCGCCAGCACTTGAATCCAACCACAGACCCCTCAGCCTGACCACAGCCTCTGCCAGGAAGGGCTGCCTCCACCCAACCAAACCTTCTGTCCCTCAAGACTCAGCGCAGAGACCTCCTCCTCCAGGAAGTCCTGATCTCCCCAACCCTCAAAGACAAGCCTCAGTCCCAGAGCTTTATCTCCTTCCCACTTCTTCAAGGGACTTTAATTTGGCCCAGAGATCCTCACAGCTTCAGAGAGAATCAGAACAGGCACTTCACTATCTTTGAGGCTGTTCACCCCACTTTAGAAAGGAGAAAATCAAGGCCACAGAGGGTAGTGGCTGGTCCCAGCTTACACAAGAAGTCAGGAGCAGGCCCTGAAAGTTGTCACCTCCAACACCCCCCCCACCTGCAAGCTGGACGTGTGACCCTCACTCGAAGCCCAACCACACCCCACCACTGGAAAGTCCCACCTCCAGCCTTACATCCCCCCTGCTTGGAGCCTCCCCAGGTGTGACAGTTCCAGGAGTTCTCACAGGGGTTATTGGCAAAAGGGGGGTCTCACATTCCACTCAAATCCAGCCACAGCCAAACCGCTTGCAGCACCAGTGCCTGCGAGGCCCACAAAGTGGCCACTGCCGATGTTGCTGGCAAAGAGCGAGGCCCCGACCTAGGTGGCCAGAGGTGGGGGTGAGCTAGGCTGCTTCTCTAGGCCTCCTCCCACTCCACAGCACAGCCTTTCTCACCGGCCACCACACCATGCTTCGTCCTGCCAGGAAGTAGCCGCCAATGGTGCCTCTGTTGGTTCTGCACATGGACTGAGAGACAAGAGTTGGGGAGGAGATGTGGGTTCGGAGCACATCTTTGGACCTCATTAGCCTTCTCAACACATTCCTCAGCCTTGTTTCAGGCTGAAGATTAACCAGCCCTGGGCTCTCTTGATGATTCCCACCCAACCCCCTGTCCCAACCTCCTCAGAGGCACCTAGAGCAACCCAGGCCTTAACCTAGTGCCCAACTACACAAGCTTGAGTGTGGCTGAATGCCGCCTGACTCTTCCTGGGGCCTCGGATATGGATGGGCTTCTGGTCAGATACTGTGTGGATAGGGGAACAGAGACCTCATTTAGAATGCTGTCCCTGATGGAGATCCACTGATCCCTTCAGCTAAACCTATTCAAAGGTGGGAAGACAAGGAATGAGTATTGGCTGGGCCTTCCTGAGGCTATCAAAAGATTTGCTTGCCTCCCAGCCCCAGGTTTCTTCCTCAAAGATCCAGGCATCCCACCCCTGCTGAACATGGGGTCTCCCTGAGACTTTCATTCCAGACCCCAGAAGCCTGACCGCCAGCGGCACCCCAACTTCTCACCCACAAGCCGACACCAATGACCAGCAGGAAATAAGCAGCAATGACCAGGATGTCAGCAGAGTTGTTAATTAAGACCCTCTGGTTTCCCAGTCCTGGTACGGAGCCTGCCTCTGTGTGTTCCTCCATTCTGCCTATGATCTGTCTCTCAAGGGACCAGCCAGTGGATTTCCTCACAGGAGGGATTAATGGTTACCTCAGGGTCAGTGAGCCGACAAGTCCCCTAGCTCTTGTTCCCCCTCCCCAGCTTTGTTTAGCTGAATCAGGTCTCATCAAGGCCGAAAACTGGTCCTGTGGAACAGACAGCTTTCAAGTTCAGGAGCATTCCTTCCTGGGCCTTAGCCCCCACACTGTCCCCAGTGACCCAGGCTCAAAATTACTCCTTTCATCCATGCTTACCCTTCAACCTTGACCTAGGGAGTGTGGCTGAGTCAGTCTCCTTGTATTTACTAATCCAGAGGGATCATTTTCAAATGGAACTCTGACAGTGTCACTCCCCTGCTCAGAAACCCTTCCTAGCCCCCCATCATACTAAAGGAAGTAGCTTTTCAGCCTCATGTTCAAGGCCTGCCATCCCCTGACTCCTGCCCACTCTTCCTCCTTGCTCCTCCACACCAAACCTGGGGTGATATCACATTTCCCTCCAACTCCCTTGCCCTGCCCAGGCCCTATATTTTCACACACCCAAACTTTTGCCTTAGCTGTGCATTCTGCTTAGAGTGCCTCCCTGCCTCCCAAATGGCCCACTCCTACCTCACAGAAGGTAACCTTCAGTACCCAGCCCCTGTCAGCTCTTCAAGAAAGGCTTCTCTGACTTTTCTGATACAGTTATGAGCACATTGTGTTGTCCTCCTCTGGGTCCAGGTCTGCCTTCCCAACAGACTAGGGATTACCCACAAGCAGGAAATGACCTGACTCATCCCTGGAGTCCCATTGCTCAGCACAGGGCTGAAAGGAAGAAGGGAGAGTATTGATAAATATCAGTACCTCTGTCTTTCTAGAAGAATTGACCAGACTTGGATGTCTGATTATGACAAGTTAGGTTCATGCCTGAGATGAAGAACAGAAAACAATATTTAGGGGAATATATTTAAGGAATGCCTTAGTTGGGTCCTTTCAAAGCAGATCCGAAGATGAGAATTGGGTGCAAGGACTTTCCTGAAGAGGAAGTGAGGGAAAGTGAGACAAAGAAAGAAGAAAAGCCAATAAAGGGGCATCTTGATTAAAAGGTTGCCACTGTGAATGAGCAATCTCAGTGGGAATTCTTTGAGACACTTGGAGAATGTACCTCAGAATTGACCCCCTCAGAGCCAGGAAGCCGGAGTATTTATTCACCAATTCCTGTCTCTGAGGTTACAGAACCTCCCCCTCCCACTTCAGGTGTGCTGGGTGCAGGAGCACACTTGTTTCCCCAGAGAGCACCCTCAGACAGAACCTCAGGGAGCAGCTGAGGAGACTCAGCTGGGGAGACTGGGTGTCTGGGAACTGTCTGCTTGACTTCCCGATGGGCTCAGTGGGTATGGGCAGCACATCCACAGCTTCTGCTTCAGGGGATGATAAATTTGAAGTGCCTGAGAGAAATCCAGGTCCAAGTGTCAGAGGACACATTGGGGTTATAAGCACTTAAAATCAATATGCCCTCTTTGTGGCCTGCAAAACCCTTTGTGATGTAGCACCTGTTTCCTCTTTGACCTCACCTCCTACTACTCTCCCCCTTACTCACCCTAATCCAGGCCTACCGGCCTTCTTTCCTTTCGTTCAATATGCCCAGCCCCTTGCTACATTCTGGCCTTTGCACTTGCTGTTTCCTCTGCCCGGAATGCTCTGCTTATGCTGTTTGCCTGGCTGTTTTCTTTCCTCAACCTTTCAAGTCTCAACTTAGATGTTACATATTCATAGAGACTATCTGGTTAAAAGTAATCCCTTCCTCCCTTTCTCTAACTTAGTTCTCTATTTTTCCCCCTTCTCACTCTCCTTCCTTTCCTTTCTTCTTCATTCCTTCCTTCTATTAACAAACATTCACTGAGCACCTACAGCCGGCCAGATAGCGTTCTAGACACTGGAGAGACAATGGTCAGCAAAACAAACATGTAATCTGACAGACAAACTCTCAGGAGCTTGCATTCCAGTTTCAGAAACAGACATAAATAAGCAACAGATAAACACCTATTTGCAATAGTAGTAAGTGCTATGAAGGACTAGGGAAGTGCTATGGATGGAAACAAGGAGAAAGAGTGAGCTTTATTTAGGCCATCAGGAAAGTCTCCATTAGTTCATCACATGTGATGTCATCAGTGTACTTATCATTTGTCTCTTCTACTAGACTTCAGCTCCACGAAGTCAAGAAATATGTCTGCTTGGTTCCTTGTGGTCTCCCAAGCACCTGATAGAGAGCCTGGCATAGTACATACTCAATAAATACTTGGTGAAATGAATGAATCGAGACTAGATGGCCAGTTGGGGCATCCTCAAGACAGGAAGGTGGTTACAAGCCAGGAAACAAATTTCTCCAGGGAGAATGTGTGGGGGGAGAGCAGGAAGCCTGGGAAGACCTAGGGAGAGGAGCTTCAAAGAGGAAAGAATCTGGGGGGCGGGGGGTCAGGCCAAGATGAGGACAGAGAACACATCACATTTGTCTTACTCACACATGCTCTCCTTGGCTAGCTATTCCTCCTCAAGTAGGAAGGGTCTCTGAGAATCCATCATTTCCAGCTTCAAAATCTCCTGCACTTTGGACTCAAGAATCCCAGCCCTGTCCTTAGAGTACTGCAGGGTCCAAAGTGAAGGTTCAGAGGCTCAAAAAGGCTCTGGGTCCTGAGTTCAGATGGAGCCTAAACTCCACATCTAAAAATCCCTGGCCCAGCCATTTCTGCTGGGGCTTAGCTCAGGTGTTCCCTCCTCCAGGAAGACTTACTGGACTCCCAGTCTGAGTTAAAAGCCTCCTTCTGGCTCATACAGCCCCTAGTGTTTCCTTTGGTCACGACTCTGACCACCCCAAGTGTCATCCTCTGCTTAGGGGAGAGGCTATGAGTTAGTACAAGTAAGAGCAAAGCTGTGCCTTAGTGCCCAGATCCAGAGAGTGGCCATAAATTGGCACTTCTACATGGAGCCCCATTTCAGAGGGTCTTTTCAGGAGGGGAGGAAAATCTGAAAATTAGACAAGGTGACAAGGGTGGGAGGGAATGGGAGATGGGGGTTGGAGACAGATTAATGTTTATTTCAAGGATAGAGGTTGCTGAAGAAGTGGGGAATGAGGGTGGGAAGTTTCCGTGGGGCCCAGTTTGACCTCCTGTTCTGGCTCCCTACTTTCTGTACAATCCAGTGCAGTCTCATTTGATGTGTGAGGGACAGCTTGCAAAGGCTGAGGCTACAGGTCCCCCTGAAGCCACAGGGCAGGGACCTAGAACCAGCTGCAGCCAGAGCCAGCAGGAGAGAGGCAAGGCATCACCGCCCAAGGCTTTCCCTCGCACAGAGACACCGCACCACCGTCATGTGGCATGTGTTTTTATGTAGGTAGAAAAAAAAGTGCACAGAACAGTGAGGGTGCGGGGAGCAGGTATGTCCTGGCCTGTCCTCTCATTAGTGGGACTTGCAAGGGTCCACCTCCAGTCAGGGGGCTCCATCAAGGGTGGGGATAAAGTGAAGACCTCAGGTAGGTTGCTTTGCAGTGCAGGACCCACGTACGTGGTCTTGAAATTGGCGGGCCCTTTTCTGAATTTGACTATAGAGAACTGAAGAGTATAGAATAGAGTACCTCAGGGGCGGGTCTCTCCAGTGGGTGGGGCTTCCCAGGGTGGGCTGGGGAGAGACCCCCAGGCTCAAAGAGCTTGGCCGAGGCCGTGGGGTCTTTTGGGGGAAGGGTGGGGTGGCAGGCCCGCAGGCGGTTAGCCGAAGAGCTTGACGAAGCAGGGTTGGCAGTACGGCTTGCCGGCACGCTCCTGGAAGGAGCCCTTGGTGAGTGGGCGCAGGCAGAAGGTGCAGGTGAAGTGGTCTGGGTGGAAGCGACGGCCCAGGGCTGACACGCAACGGCCGGTCACGGGGAGGCCACACGTGGCACACAACGAACCACGCCGCGCGTGGAAATGGTTCTCGCACAGCGGGCGGCCCTCGTGCTCGAAAAAGCTACCTCCGGAGAAAGGTGCGAAGCATTCCTGGGGGAGGGCGGTAGCGATAGGATAGGTCAGCCGCCAACCCCCAGACCAAATAATTAGCTTCAGGAGCTTAATAACCCAACGTGGGAACCCCACTGCCCACAACCCCACCCGCGACGTGAGGCACCTTGCCTTGAATACCTGAATCAATCGCCCCGCCCCAGGCTCCAAGCTGGGCTCCCTTTGGTCCAGCTCCCCTCCTCTCCCCATCCCCCCCAACCTCGCGCAGCAGCGCACCCTGCAGACGAAGCAGTCCGGGTGCCATAGTGCGCTGAGCGCGGAGATGTAGTTATCCAGAATGGGGCCTTGACAGCCCTGGCAGCGCGGGGCGAACAGCTGCAGGAAGTCCCGGCGGCAGTAGGGGCGGCCCTCTCGCTCATGGAAACCTAGGGGCGGAAACCGAGCAGAAAGAAAAAAAAAACTGCGGGCTGCCCCCAGGACTTGCGAGATCTGAGACTGTGGGGCCAGATTAGGGGCAGTCAGAATGAGCAGTAGAGAAGGAGGGATCCGATCTAGGGTGGAGGCCGAGTGGGAGGGGACAGAATGGGCACACGCGGGGGCGAGAGGGTGGGGCCGGAAGACTTGGAACGTTGTAGTAGGCTGGACCAAAGTGGGCGAGGCGGGATATTGAGCAGACGGGTATCTTTCGAGACCGGAGCCAAGCTCTCACCCTCATCTCCGAAGGGCTCCCCACAACTGACGCAGCAGAAATGCTCCGGGTGCCAGTGGGTGCCCAAGGCAGTAACCATCTTCTGTGGAGAATGAACGGGGACACTCAGTGTGGCCCTCCATCCCTTCTACCCTCCCTCTCCCATCATGATACTTATGTAAACGGGTTTAAGTAGGCGTTTGAGGTGCTGGAGACCCAAGAAGGACCTTGAAGTCAGAGAAAGTGGGCGGAGTCCAAAGAGCCTTGGGTGAGGCGAAGGGGCAGGGCATGGGTGGGGGTGCTCTGGGAAAGGCGGGGCTCACGTGTCTGATGGGTTGATTGCAGAGGCCACATCGTGGGGAAAAGCGCTCAAAGTAGCATTCAGGGCAGAAGGGGGCTCCGTCCTTTTCAAAGAAGCTGCTGCCTCCCAGGGCCATGGAACAGCCACCGCAAATGAAGTGCTCAGGGTGCCAAGCCCGGCCCAGCGCTGTCACCACCTGGAGTTGGGGGTAAGGCCTGGGTCAGAGTAGCCCTCGGGTTGCTATGTGCCCAGTGAGCCACGGTTGACATGGCACATTTCAAGTTTTCCTTTTTCTTTTTCTCTTTTTACAATTTGACTTCCTTAGCTCATTTCTCCCCTCCCTCCCTGAGAGGTCAGGCTGAAGAACCTAATGTTCGAGTCAGTCTGTAAGTGACAGAGATTCAACCGAGGGCTTCCAGCAGCACAGCGCCTAGGGCCCTCAATAATTTTAGGAGCCCATGAAAATGCTGCAATTACTTTTAAAGTCAGAAGACAAAAATGAGCTAGAAGAAAATGATTTGATGTATAATATTAATATATTCATCTTTACACCAACACAGTCATAAAGCACAATTAAAAAAAAATTTTAATGGAGGAAGGGGCCCATGAAGATGAACGTGCCTAGGGCCCACAAGGGTCATAATGCCACCCTGCTTTGCTAAGATTGGAAGTTTTGGAATGGAAGCAGGGCACCAAATATAGCAGGAGGATCTAGGTCAACCACTGGGCACAGTTGTCATCAATAACATCTACTCAGTCCATAAGCCAAGAATAAGAGCTCACAAACCAGATGCTAGTGGAGGAGAAACTGTCCTTGTTGGTGCCCGAGAGATGGTGGGTGGCACCAGTAAGACTTTTGTGAAGACTAAGTGAGATGGAGGTTTATAAAGGAGCTAATATAGTGCCCAAACACAGTAGAACCACAATAAATGGTAACTGAGTCGGAATTCTCATCCTGCCACCTACATGCTGTGTGACTCAGAGCTTTAGTCTCCTCATCTATAAAATATGAACAACGGTAATACCCAGATAATACCCAGGTAATACTTCCCAGAGTCATTTATTAAAAGGGAACAGCACAAAGTCTGGCTCTCCATAAGGATAGGTCCATGGGTCTCTACCTTCCTACTCACAGGGCCCCACTTACTTGCCCAGCAATAGGTTTATTGCAGGAGCCACAGAGACCCTTGGTCTGGGTAGGAACACCACGGCGGCTGAGATCAGACTGCAGCAGCCCCAGCATGGTGTCTAGGCTGCCCTTGCTGGCCGGCCCTGGTGAGGATGGGGAGTCCTCATTCACAGAGCTTGGCACTGGTGGCTGGGTTGACCCAGACGCTGGAAGCTGCAGCAAAGAGGACACGAGAGTTGAGTCAGCAAAGCAGCAGATATGGAAGGTCCTAAAAGGGGTTGGGAAGCCACAAATCCACACTGGCCCACACCCCACCTGATTCACATGGTTTTGGACACGGAAATCAGACAGCGAAGCCATCAGTCTATCCAACTCTAGGGTGGCAGAGGTTGCTGAAGGCTTTGGGAGAACAGGAGATGGGCTGGGAGGGCTGTGAAGAACACAGTCTGTATCAGCTCAGAGTCCCCCAGAGTAATGAATGCTACCCTCCAGTAACTCAGGTATCCATCACATCTCTCCCAGCTCTGCCAACTGTGTCAAACTCACAGGCTGGGCCTTTTCTTGTCCTCACATTGGTCCTCCTTCTGTTCCCCTGCAGTCTCCTTGCTTGATGGGAACTGAGACATTATTTCATCTGCAGAGAGGAAAGAAGGGCACTGGACATGGAACTATACTCTACCCCCTCCCAGTTGAGACTCGTGTCCCTTTAGCTGCTACCCTGTGAAGAGTATACACCCAATCTCTGCCCTTTCCCCATCCCATCAAGGCCTATCTCTGTAACCTGGTACCTGTGATGTTGAACTGGGTAGCATTAAGTTCCTGAAGCAACCGGTCTAGCTCACAGAGCCCTGTGCCCAAGACACCGCTGGAAGAGGAGAATGGAGGGGCCGTAGGGGCCGCAGGGTTTGGGGACCGAGGCTTGCAAACCGTACTGCAAAACAGAGTGGGAGTCTGTGTTCAGGGGTGGAGAATTCAAGCCTCCTTACCTGAGTCTCAGTTGGATTCCCTATCTTCCCAGTTCCCAGGCCCCTCACCTGTATAGATGGTCCTTGTCCCCAGAGGCTCCGGAAGACTCCCCAGACCCTGTCTACAGAGAGGACACATGTGTGGGATGATAGGCCTGTACTTTGCCCCACTCAAGCCAAAATCCCTCTAGCCTTAGCCAAGCTTGGCCCTAGTGTTACCCCAATCCTTAGTGTTTGATCTCACCTGTGGTTGGTGGCCATAGGGCAGGGGAGCTGTGAGAGGCTCTGGGGACCGCTCTTTTGGAACCCCTGACCTTGGCATGTGTGAGGTGGTGGTCTCCAGGTCAGACAACAGGGCATCTGCAGGGAACAGGCCGCCAGGGTGAGCAGTTGAGAGGTTAAGGTTAGAACAGAGACAGGGCCTTAAGAGATTAGAGGGTAAGGGTTCCAAGTAGGCTGTAGTTAAGGAGGGCAGAAGCCAGTATTAAGAGCAGAGGTCAGAAATCAGATGAAAAAACACAGGCCAGACCAAGGCAGAGAAGTAGAAGGGCAGCAAGGAATATTTATGGCCAAAACATCCCAAATGGCTCATCTTGGGAGTCCTGCACAAAAGCTGCCTGATTCTTTTATTCTCTGCATCTTCCCTGATGCAGTCAAAATTGACTCTTTACTCAAGCCAAATCTGGCTTCACCCCAAATTGCTCAACTGGCTGTACGCCTGGAACCCAACTTTCTGATTGGATGCTCTTTCTGTCCACTAATTCCTGCCCCCTCCTGCACCTAAACAGGCCCGCCCAGCCCTGGCCCGCATCCAGGCACTGGCTCCCACCCTATTCTCCTCATTGGCAGTCTGCTGGGACCTGCTTTCTGATTGGCGTATTTTCCACAGTGCCGGTTACCCCTGCTGAGCAGCACCCCCTATCGCAGGGTGCCTGAACCCCTTCTCTAGCCTGGAGAGCACAGCCTTCCATCCGTTTTCAACAGACCAGAAGGAGGAGATGCCTGGGTCCTCCTTCTTCCCCCAAGACACCCCCACCCCCAACTCTCTTTCCCAGATATAGATCCTTTATACCCTTTCCTTCCCAGAACCTAGAACTCTCTGCTGCTCCTTTACTTATCTCTGAGTACCACAGTGGAACCCTTAACCTCTCCCTGGCATCTTGGCCCTCATCTCTTTTCTTTCTGTCCCCCAAAGACTCGACCCCTACCATATTTAGGGGTGCATAATTCTTTTCTTCCCCAAACCCTGAGATGGATCTGTTTTCTTCTCCAGAATGTGATGTCATATTCTCCCTTCCTGTCTACTTTCCCAGTGCCCGGACCCCAGACCCCTTTAACCCCTCCTTTCCCAGCGCCCCTGAGCACAGGTGCCCACTGGTGGGCGCTGCACCTCCCTGCCCATTCGTTGGCAGCTAGTGATGGAGGAGCTGAGCGAGGGAAGAAGGGAGGGAGCGGCCAGTCTAGGAAAAGGCAGGAAGGGAGAGGCAGGAAGGGGGACGTGGAGTCGGAAAGGAGGCGCAGGCAGAGACCAGAATCAAGAAGACAGGAGGCGGGGATGGGAAGATGCGGGGAGTGCGAGGGGTTTCCAGCATGGGGAAGCGGGTCCGGATGGCGGTGAGGAGCTGGGGACAAGGGGATCCGAGCCCCACTCACCCAGGTCCTCCATGGCGGGGCGCGGGCTCACCGCGCGGGGCGAGCAGGGCGGGGGCTGTGTCCGGTGGGGGCGGGGGGCGGGGGGGACGTCCGGGAGTTGGAGGCCCGGCCGTGACCATGTAAGGAAGCCGGGACCCGCTAGGATGGGGCTTGGGGGGGGCGGGGGTGCAAAGAACGGGAGAACTCGGGATGGGGGCGTGTAAGGGAGGGAGGTCCACGGCCCACCCAGGCCCAGCCCGCTTGTCTGCCGCGGAGGCAGCCACACCCCAGCCTTGGCCTCAGCTGCTGGGAGCTGGGGCGGCCAGAGCCAAAGTCAGAGAAGTGGCTCTCCCAGACCAAGCTCGGAATCCTCTGTTCAGTGAGACTCTAAGACACAAACTGAAGACCCCAAGCAAACGCGTCCCAAAGCTAGCAACCTGAGTCCTATATAGAGTCCTGTCCACTCAGGCCATTCTTGAGAGACTTGCTCCAGACAGAATTTTTGGGTTGAGGACAGGAGTGATGGTTCTAAGGTTCAGGCAACAGGTTCAGAGACCTTTCGTTAGAGACGCTAACAGTAACATGAACAGAGATCCCAAAGGGCACATATACCGAAACAAATCGCTCAGAAATAGAGACAGATAGACACAAGGAACCGTCGCACGCTCTAAGCCAGGACCTTCTCTTTCAGACTTGGAAACAGACATATAGACATGGGTAAACTGAACTCAGGCCCAAACCCCATGAAGACTCAGGGGAAACATGCCCAGGCAGCCAGACCACAGCCAGCCTTCAAGACAAAGCCCTTCCTTCCCTGACACTGAGGTAACCCAGACCTGTTCCAAAAGAGCCCTTTCCCGAGATACTGGTGAACACAGACACTCAAGACACAGACTCCAGTCACAAAGGAACTTTCCCTGGCCTGGGACCCTGAGAAGTCAAAGTGGAAATGAACACTTAGAGATGTATGGACAGACACAATAATGTTGCAGCCACTGGACTGTGGGTCTCAATCCACACGAGTACTGGACTGTGGCCCTCAGGCCAGCAGCAGATTAAACCGACCTGGGAAGCTTCTTAAAAATACTGATGCCCAGGGCATCCTCCCCTCAATTCAATTCATTGAGGAAGTGCCTAGACATCAACATTTTTAAAAAGCTCTCTGGGTAATTCTAATGCACAGCCTGAGGACAGAGAGCTGGACACAGAAGCACAGAGACAGCAAGAGTCAACCTTAGCTCCCCAGAAGCTAACAGGCAGCCCAGTTCAGGCACACTCCTCAGTCAGGCTGCACCGGAGTGGTTAGTGATCTGGAATCCAGGTGATAGATAGACCCTGCCCTGAGAGACCAAAGCACAGCATAAGCCCTTCCCTTGCCTGTCAGATACACCCAGGGCTCTGTCTCTCTCTGAGTGAAATTAAGACAGGACCTGCCTTAGGGACTCCAGGAACACAGTAGGTCTTCCCTTAGGCCAATAGCAGAAGGCTACTTGGCCTAAGAGATGAAAACAGACCCAGACTCTGAAGGCTCAAGATGGGTGAAAGACACTCAGTTAACAGTAATGCCAAGGCCTTGGACATACATTCCCACACTTACTGCATTCCCTCAGCCCAGCCCCTTCATCCCTGACCAGAGTCTGTGTGTCTAGGTGGGTATTTGTCTGAGTAATGAAGTTGCGTGAGCAGGAAGCAGGCCTCCCCCCACATACTCTATTCTATCCCAGGACTCCGGGAACTTACTTATTAAACTTCTACATGCCAGGGGTGGCCTGTATTGAGATACAGCAACCTGAACAAGATCCTGGTGGATGGGGGGGGCGGGTAGGGGGAGTCCCACAGGAAAGTAAGCAGAGACACCACACAATATGAGTATCCAACTCCAAAGTTTTTAATCTTAACTCTGGAAGGCTGGGCCTGGCCAGGTGCCTGAGGCCCTGGGCTGTTCTCCTTCTGTGGGCTTCATACTCCAACTGTGGCCTTGGCTTCTCACTCCTGCTTCTTCAGACCGCTGTCCTGGGGTATAGTTCCATTCTCTCATCAATCCTTGATGGTAACTTCTGCTCGGCCTCCTCTCATGCTGCTCTGAAGGAGTCCTCCTCCACAGCCAACTCATCCTTGGATCCCCTCCCAGGGGACATCAACAGTCTAAGCTGGAACCCTTGTCCCCCATTTCAACCCCCATCACCACAGCCAGTAAAGCCTCAGTCAGGGGCCCTGCCTCCTCTCCTGCTGCCTCCACAAGCCCCACTAAGGCCAAGGCCCGCTTCCGCGGGCACTGCCCTGGCCCCAGGGTCCAGCGGGCACAATGGGCAACCAACCGGGGCCGGCCCAAGCGGAATACCTCACCCACGGACTCTGGGCCACCATGGGGTCCAAGGTGGATATGGCCCACAGCCTCTTCCAGCTCCTCCTCCAGCCCAGGCAGCAAGAAACGGCCAGCAGCCTCCAGTGCCTCCTCAGCCTCTGAGCCCAGCAGGGGCTGGCCTGGTGGGGGAATTGGCCCCAGGGCAGCCCCACAGCCCCGGCAACCATGCAAGTGATGCAGGATAGGCCGGGCTGCACTGGGTGACAGGCCTCGAAGTGGCACCAGGTCCATCTGGGCTTCGGCAAAGCTGCCAGCTAGCAGAGCCCGGAAGAAAGGTGAGGCAGTAGCTGAGGCAGCTCGCTGGGCAGGGAGCCGTAGGCCTGAGTCCAGTAGGAAGTGCAGGTCAGGGGCTAGGATGGGGGCTGGGCCCAGCAGAGGTTCATAGAGGCAAGGGGATGGGGAATCTAGGTCCAGGGGGATTGGAGATGGAAGGGCTGGAGTCACAGTGGGAGACACCAGGCCTTGGAGGCAGGAAAGGGAGTCTGCAGCAAAGAAGAGGAACAGTGGATGTGGAGCTGGCCGAGTTAGTGCCGAGAGGAGGAGCCGGAGGCCACCCTGGTCCAAAAGTAGCCGGCGCCACAGAGAGGGTTTCCTTTGGGAAGAAAGGTGAAAAAGGGTGACACTGCAGAATAGTAACTTTGCTCCCCTGACCCCTATGAGACACCCACATCCTCCTCACCGACAGATGAAGGGCAGGGTGAGTGCACAGGCCACACGATCCTCAGGGCTTCCAGAGAGCAGCAGGTGAGTGAGGGCACCCACTCCAAAGGGTGATTCAGCCTGCACGGTCAAGTTCTGCAGCAACATCTCACCTGAGGAGATGAACAGAGCAGATCAGCTTGGGAGTTGATGTCCCAACTCTGGCAAAAACCTTAGGGAACGGAAGAGGGGATGACTGCAGGCCCTGGAGGGAAAGGGTCCAGATGCTAGGAAATAGAGGTCAAGGACAAGAACAAAGTGTGATGGTCAGGAAGTGCAGTCGGAACACAGAAGATAGGGCACTCCCTTGCAGTGCTGGTAGTGGGAGGCCTGGGAGGACATGGGGCCTCAGCTGTGGGTTTTCAAATCAGTATGCCCAGTGGGAAGGCAATCAGGACAATGCAGAACCAAGAGCAGATTAGGTAAAGAAATACAGACAAGCACAATTCTAAATTGTTGGGGCTACACCTGGTGTTGGGGTATCTGGGCCCCAAGACTGGGGCAGAGGATGGGGCAGAACTTTGCATCCTGGGAGTCCCTCTCCTCCTCCCATGTGGTGACTGAAGTTGATGGTAGGCTGGAGAAGGCAGTGAGAGCCATGAGTAGCAAGGTGAGGTTCTCAGTCCAGAACTAGAGGGGGATGGGACCTCTTATGGGAGACACACCCAGCTCCCGGTGCTGGCGTCGAGCCGGCCGGGCACGCAGTGTGGGCCAGTCATCTGGGGCAACGCCTAACACAAGCCAGGCACGCAGCAGTGCAGCACCATAGCTGCGCACGAAGGCCTCGAGACAGGCAGGGTTGCAGGTAAGGCGCGCCAGGATGCGCAGTGCACGTGGGCTCGGTGGGCCTGGCGAGCCTGTCACATAGGCCAGCAGGCCACACAGTGCTGGGCCGGTCACCAATGCCCCACTTGGGTCGGGAGCCTGGGAAAATCGTGACAGTAGCAGCAGCGCTGGCCCCTCACGGCCCCAAGGCTCCTCAGAGGTGGCTGCAGGGCTCCGCCCTGGTGTGCGTGTTGTGCGAGGCGTCCGCAGTGAGGTTGGACCCAGGGTGGGGCTGGTTGGCTCAGCTGGCTCTGGGGGTGGTGGAGGCGGGGGACATCGCTCAGGGGACCAGTCAGGAGAGATGTCTCCCGGGCCTGCGGCATAGCCCTCAGAGATCAGCCACGACCTGCAGAGGGAGAAAGGAGACACTGAACGCAGAGCCAAGGTAATGGAGCAAGGACAAAAGAGCTGTCATGCAAAAACAGGTGCCTGAAACCAGGAAGAAGAAGTGGGGCCAAGGGGAGATAGGAAAGAAAGAGAAATGGGGGCAAAAAACCACCCAACTCATTTAGCAATTACTGATGCCTATGTGCCAATTATGTGCCAAGCCCAGTATTAGGTACTGGGCACAAACAATGAACAGAACTAAAGTCCCCATCCTCCTAGAATTTATATTCTAGCTAGGGGCAAACAGAAAACAAAATAAAAAAGGCCCAGTGAACCTGTCTGGGTTCCAAAGTTCAGAAGTGCCGGGGTAGAGCCAAGGCCAAAGGTAGACCCGGTGGTCTTATCCAGGGAGAATGAGTCAATAAGAGTCCTACTGAGTGACTAGAAAGTGGTCTTGTCCAGGGAGAATGAGTCAATAAGAGTCCTACTGAGACAGAGTGGGGGATGAGGGTAGTGAAGAGAGCCAGAGCCCTCCATCCTCAGCAATCAGGTGGAGACTCGCCTTAGGCTTCGGAAGCTTCCAGCCTCTGCCCGCTCAGGGGTCCGCTCCTCAGGGAAGTCCCAAGAAGCAGCTTCTCTTCCCTCTTCTTCCTCATCACCAGCATCGCCACACAGCTGCCCAGCCAAGAGCGGTACAAGTCCCAGAGCTTGTAGCCTACCCAGGGCTCCAGTATCATACAGGAAGCCCACAAGGGCAGCCACGACACGAGGGTGCCAGGCACTGGCACGAGGGTCCCGTAGCAGACCCATCAATAGCTCCAAACCACCTGCATCCCGCAGCCGGGCCCGGTT